TCAGAGCCATTTTTGCCTTGGGCATTTTTCAAAATTTGGCCCATTTTTTAAAATGCTCATAACTCAAAACATTTAAGTCAGAATCAGTTCAAACTTTTTACGCAGCATAAGGACATCAAATTCAATACATGTCAATATTAGAAATTTAATATTGTTTTGTGCTTTTTTCTAAAAGGCAAAATCAACAAATTCGTTCTTAAAAATTGCTAAGTGTTTCGTGACCCCATTTCTGAAGCATGTTTTCTTATTCCAGCTCTTTGTTCATCACTGTAACCATGACATAGACATGTACAATAGTACATGTAGTTAAATCAAGTACATTTCATTTCAGTTTGGATTTGAATCAGACTATTGACCTTTTTACTGAAGAAGGAACTCATTCAGATAATGGGCCATTAGCATGGACAATAACAATAGATTTCTTCAAATACATGTACATGTACTTGAGCACTGCTATGATAATTAAGGTATGGCCTTGGGAAGAGTTAATTAAATGGGGGTGCAGTGTGTTCATTAGTTAATTTATTTTTTTGCAAATTTTATTTTTGCAATATACATGTTACATGTACACGTACATGTACATGTATAAACTAAGAAATAATTATGTGAAATTCACAAAAATTGCACAGATAAAAAACAAACCATTCATACAATATTTTGTTAGGTGCTCTACTATACACTACTCTACTACGTATACTACTATGCATCATGATGTACAATATACATCAAAAATGATCAAACGACATCTACATATACAATTCCCAGTATATTATACCTGGATCTCCCACTAGTAGTAAGTGACAGTCACCTCTAACACGAGTGCCAGACTCATAAACATACTACAATAAATAAATTTATACATTACTTCACAATTTACAATGGCTATAGTATAAATGCTAGATTATAACGAGACACCAAAGGTGAGTGGCCTCGCCCCTATAGTTGATTGGGAAGTGTTAGGCTTAGCTGACCTGCAAGTACACCTGTACATTTAGTTCAAAAGTGACACTCTGGGCAAGTGTGAAGAGCATGATGGGACTCTGGAGTCCCTCCAAAAATTTTTGATGTGTTCATAAATTCCAACTAGCTAACACTTGGATTTTATCAACTATTTATACACTCTAATTTTAAAAATAACATCATGGGTTACATCATGGGTTGCAAAACCACAGCTTTTGATGTGGTCTCAGCTTTTGATGTGGTCTCTATCAAAGATACGCATCCTAAAAACAAACCAGACTGCATGCCTGCAGAAGTAGCAGCGTACTCCAGCTACTCCCAAATTGGAGGTGTGGCATGACATCATCAACTATTAATTATTTGATGGCAGCAAGCCCTGTAAAAAGAACTGAGCAAGTTTCAGATTTTTCTCTTCTTATAAGTGCTATATGATATTATAATGGCACAAATACTGTTGCCTAGATGTAAATGGAGTGATTTGAGAGAGTTTAGGACCTTTGGACTACCTGCAGTTCACTCAGGTTGAAATTCAAGAAGCTATAACTCACCAATAAGAAAGATTTACAGAGTCCCACACATATTAAAACAATAACTAGTCTTGATCTACTGGAAAAGAGTCTCAGTTACCTCCAGAGTACTACTGCTATTGCTGGGCATTTTCTCGTGAGTTAAAAAGCTTCTACTAGCTAGAGCTGCTCTCTA